GTTCTTGTTGAGGAACCGAAACCATAATAGGGTTCTAAAGCAAATAAGTTACAGGAAACTACAGGTGGGGAGTGTAGGGTATACAGGGCTTCTATACGGACTCCATAAGGCTTATAGACCTTCTTGTAAGGCTCCTATAACGATAACTACCCACATGAAAATGTCCTAGAATAAGAGGGTTCATAACTATGAGGCTACGGTAGCTTAAATTCTAAACCCTGAACCTAGCTTAAGTTACTATGATAGGGATCTTTAGGGATGTAATAGTCAAACAAAGCACAAAAGGCTTCATGACTACGGTAATTTTAATTTCTCAACCCTGAACCCTCAACTTCTTTCAAAAGGAGCCCCACCTGCAGCAGCACTGAGGCCTGATCCCAGTAGATGCGCTCGGAAGTGAGCTTCCAGCGTCCGTCCTCCTTCGAGAAGGTGACACTGGCCACTAAAGGGATGCGGATGGGAAGGTGCGTGGGGGCCACCCCAGGCAGCAGCCAGTCCACCTCGGAGGTGTGGTTCAGAGATACCACCATTTCCTGGGTTCTTGCTGAGGAACTTAGCTTGGTTATAATTTTGGGGCCCTGAAAAGAGCTCATGAATTCGTACCTAACTTTACAGTTTCCCGAAGTGCCACCTAGTCAGTTAATGATTACCATAATCGGGATCTACAGCACATTATGGGTTTCGTGTGGATTCCTTATTACCTGGAATGTTAAATTAGATTCCTTACCCAAAGGCTCCATGTACCTTAATAGGAGATACTTAGGCCTTAAAGTACCTATATAGGAGCTCCTCTAAGGCCTAAGTATCTACTATATGGGTACATGGAGCCCTAGGGTTAGCAAGGACCCAGCTTCATCTACCAGCGACCCGTCGGCCACGCTCACCGTCCGCTTCAGCGGCAGCAGCTGCATGGGAGGGTTCTGGAAAATGAAGTGGTTCTCCTGGGACGGTTTAGGGTTTAGGGCTTAGGGTTTAGGGTTTAGGGGTTCTCCTGGGTCCATGAGCTTGGAGGGTCAGGGCACTTAGTAAGTAGGTACTATGCAGACTTCTAAGTAACCTAGAAGGGACTCTAGTTGGGGTTATGATACTTATACGTCTATAGTCTATAAAGTAACTACTTACTATGTCTCCCGACCCTCCAAGGAAGGGAAGACTGATGATCCTTGTTATCCGAACCCCAAAAAGTAAAAAAACATCTCTAACATCCACCAAGTCACGGAACCCAAAACCCTAAACCCCAAGCCCTTGACCTTAAACCCTACACCCGAAACCCTAAACCCGAGATCTAACCCTAGGGGTCCATGTACCCAAATAGTATATACTTTGGCCTTAAAGTAGTCCCTATCTGGTACTTTGGGGCCAAAGTATATATGAGTTGGGTACATGGACCTTTGCTTGGAGGGTCGGGAGACTTAGTAAGTAGGTAATAAGCAGACTTATAAGTAGCCTAAAAGAGACCCTAATTGGGGTTATGATACTTATAAGTCTATAAGCTAACTACTTACTAGGTCCCCCGACCCTCCAAATAGGGTAACATCCACCAGGTCTTGGAACCCAAAACCCAAAACCCTAAACCCTCAAACCCTAGACCCTAACCCTACACCCGAAATCCTAAACCCGAGCTCTAACGTCCACCAGGTCTCGTAGAAATAGGACAGCAGATCGAGTCCGGAGCCGCCAACAAGGGTCGGGAGATGGGCCACCTGACTTCGCCAAGCTTTGGGCTTCGGGTTTGAAAGGCTTCGGGCTTTAAGGGTTTAGGGTTTAAGGTTTAGGGTTTTGAGGGTTTAGGGCTTTTAAGGGTTTGGGGTTTTGAAGGGCTTCAGGCTTTAAGGGTTTAGGGTTTTGAGGGTTTAGGGCTTTATATTGTTTAGGGTTTTGGGTGGTTTAGGGCTTTAGAGGGTTTAGGGTTTAGGGTTTTGAAAGGTTTAGGGCTTTGTAGGGTTTAGGGTTTAGTGTTTTGAAGGGTTTAGGGCTTCATTAATAGGGTTTAGGGTTCAGGGTTTTGAAGTGTTTAGGGCTTTATAGGGTTTTGGGTTTAGGGTTTTGAAGGGTTTAGGGCTTTATAACAATTATAGGGCCTCATGGGGTATAGGGTTTTGTGCCCATTGCCCGAGAATCAGCGACACTCAGAAAATACCAACCAAAAGACGCTACCATCCTCCAGATTTTTTGAATTTAGGGGTTTAAGGTCCAGGGCTTGGTGAGCTGGAGGCTTATGACCTGGTGATGGAAAAAAGAGGGAAAGAAACGGTTCATGTCCCAGAGCTAGTATTGGAAACCTTTTCCCGAAGCCGAAAACCCTATAAAAACCATTTGGAAATTCCCTAATTAAACCCTGCAAGGCCCAGAAAGCCCTAATCCTGCACGGCCACGGAGGGGGGCGAGGAGCGCGTCATGGTTCGCATAGTGTCTGCCGTGCTCTTCTTGGCTGGGTCGAACTCATAAGCCAAGTGCTCTTCCTTACTCACCACGGTTTAGGGCTTACGGGCTGAAGGGCTGAAGGGTTTAAGGGTGTAGGGGTTGTGGGGCTTGGGGGTTTAATTTGTTGAGGGCTTCGGGGTTTTGTTGGTTTAGGGGTTTAGGGTTTAGGGGTGTTGGGGATTTAGGTGCCCTGTGAAAGGGCACTATTAAGGGATGTTCTTAAGAATCCTTTGCGTCCTTACTCTTCGAAGGTCCACCTACTACAGGAGCCTTACTAATCGGAATAAGGGTTTTGATATTGTACTATGGTTATATTAGAGGCTACAATGGATTATTCGCAACCCTCACTTCACCTGTAGCCCACACCAGAAACCATGTGGCATGGGCGGTCACTTTTGGCTGCAATCTTCTGTTGATGAGGATGGGGGGGCACATGCCCCCCCCCCCCCGGTCCGTCCCTGTCAAGTAAATCTCGTGCCCTTGGGCCATAAGTGATAACACACACGAATGCTGGCATCCGCCAGCCGTCCAGGCACCGTCACCTACCCCTTCTATGGAGGGCGGGCGGGAATTTCAGCACACAAAGCTGTGAAATGCGCGGCACCTGAACAAGCGGACGTTGCAACCTGACAGTAGCAAGACATGTGCGCACAGGTGGGGGCGAGGGTTCTGTGTATGCGGCGGCCATATCCCATCCTACCTCACCGCAGACAACCCGATTAGCCGACCCCTATGCGGTAGCGCGATAGGGTTCTATAGGGGCCATGTACCCGAGCAGCAATTTCATTGTGCCTTACAGGTGCTTTTGCACATACTTTGTTAGTGCAAAGCATAAAAAACGTGAATTAAGGGTACCTGGACCAGTTAGACGGTTTCCTAACACCCGAGCAAAAACAGGAATATTAGCTCCAATACACGATCCACGAAATGTCTCAACTGGCTTTGACACTAGCTCATGAGAACTTAGCAGTAAAACTTCCAATGCACTTTAGTAGTTGGCTTACAAGAATCCAGGAAAGGCAAGTTTGGTACTTGCAAAACCCTAATGTAGGGCCTTAATAATTAGAAAAGGGTTTTGGGGCGCCTTCTAGTATAGTTATAATGAGGAACCCCATTGAAATAGGATAGGTAAACCAAGCTTCCCAAAGCGAGATGAGTTCCAGCCTCTCCTGTGCCTCGGAGTGCGGCGAGAAGCGAAGAAGCAGGGCGAAGCCAAGCAGTGCAAGTGATGGCACCAGCAAAGAGGGCGCCACCGAAAGCCATCCGAAGCTAGTCGATTCCGCCCGACGAGACACCATCCTAACTAAAGCCTAAACCCTAAAACCTGATACCCTAAACCCAAAACCGGAACCCCTAAACCCTAAACCCTACAACCATAAACCTAGACCCCTAAACCCGAAAATCCCAAGCCGTCCCCAAAATCGATCGGAACTGTGGGCCGGCAGCTGCAGAGGTGGATCAAGCTGTTGAGCACAGGGCTGGACCCTCGTAGCAAATTGAGTGAGGGGGGGAGGGGGGGGGGGGGCAGCATTTTACCCTAAGGGTTCATGTGCCCAAGTAGCCCTAGCCCTCCAGGTACCTACTTTTTAGGGCCTTAGGGGCTCTAGTACTCTATATAGTAGGTACCTGGGGGGGTTAGGGTAGTCTATACTTTGGCCTTAAAGCAGTCCCTAGAAAGGTACTTTAAGGGCAAAGTTTCTGCTAGTTGTGTATAGTTGTCCCTTCGGGTTACGTAAGCACACAAGACTTATGTATGGGGAGAAAACCCTAAACCCTAAACCCTAAACCGTAGAAAGGTACTCCCAAGAGCTGCTCAAGCACTCACCCGCTCGTCAAGCTGTTTGGGAGGCCGCAACTACGATGGTACTACACGGGCATTGTGCTGTTGCGCCTAGTATAGATCGGGAACGTCATCATCAGAAGCATCATCTAGTTCTTGTTCGTCTTCACGACCATCAACATCATCAGCATCATCATCATCATCAACAACATCATCATCAGGCTCATTCCCATCATCCTCATTATGCTCCTCATCATCATCACATTCGCATCCTCATCATTCTCTTCCTCACAACCATGATCAACAACTATATCATCAGTCTGGGTTGCTGTTCAAGGTTCCGTGAACTGTAACCCTATATACACCCTAACCCTAAACCCTAAACCCCTTGGCGCTAAGCCCTAAACCCTGAACCACCCCAAAACCCAGTGATATATGGCGACAGGGCCTTATCAGGCTCCAAAGGTTTCTCTAGTTCAAGGTATGTAACACCTAGACCTTTATAACTCGCCCCAGGTAGGGGTTAGGCGAAACCAATCCTTACGTGCCTACCCTAAGACGGTTCGACAAGAAGCTCACGGGTATCAGAAAAAATCTTTGGTGCAACATGGTGCAAAACCATCAACCCAAAGTGCTACCCTCCGCAACCCGACCCCCATTCTCCCGCCCTGAGGCCTCAACCCCAAAACCGTAAACCCCTATACTCCGAAACCCAAATGACTGAATCTCTAAACACCTAAAACCCATAACCCAAAACCCCTAAACTGCTGAGCCTCAAATAACATCAGTGGAAGTCCTCGGTGGCGACATCTCCTTCTTCTTGAGGACCGGATTTCTCAGTCGCTCGAGCCTCGAACACTCTTCCAGGTTTAGTGTTTAGGGTTTAGGGTTTAGGGTTTAGGGTTTAGGGTTTAGGGTTTAGGGTTCAGGGTCAGTTATTCCGGTTATGCGTTTCGTGGGGTTGGGTTTAAGGACCGTAACCAACAACCATCTACCTTGTTAAGGACCTATACATGCAATTCATGCCTTAACCAGGTAGGCATTGTAGGGTGACTTGGAAGGTCGGGGGACTTAGTAAGTAGTTGCTTTACAGACTTTTAAGAATTTCTAGTTTGGGGGTTCGGATTCAGGGTTCAGGGTTTAGGGTTTAGGGAGTTTAGGGTTTAGGGTTTAGGGTTTAGGGAGTTTAGGGTTCAGGGTTTAGGGTTGAGGGCTTAGGGAGTTTAGGGTTCAGGGTTTAGGGTTTAGGCTAGCCATGTCTGGAGGGTGCGGGGGCTTACGGTTGATGATATAAATCCTGCATTACCCATGATAAGGACTATACCAGAGTTCCCATAGTTTGGGGTGCTTAAGGTAATGCATGATTTCTATCATCAACAGTAGTACGCAGGCAAGAAGACCTTATGACCCGCAGCTCCAACAGCTCCCCGCCTGAAGGCCCAAACTTGAATTGGGTTTAGGGTTTAGGGTTTAGGGTTTAGGGTTTAGGGTTTAGGGTTTAGGGTTTAGGGTTTAGGGTTTAGGGTTTAGGGTAGTACCGTTTCTTTGGTTGCCGTGGTCCCGTACTGTAGGCATCCGAAGATCCTGACTATGTGTCAACAAGCACTGCTTGGTGCGCTGTACCCCTTAACCCTAAACCCTAAACCCTAAACCCCTAAACCCTAAACCCTAAACCCTAAACCCTAAACCCAAGATCCTAAACCCTAACACTGGTCCCCTGCCCTAAAATCGGTATCCAATCCGGTAACATGGTAGGGTGTGTAAAGCCGCGCACTGGTCACAGGACCCCGAACAAAACTATGGACTTTTAAAGTTCGGCCTACTGTCCACCCTGAAACCTAAACCCTAAACCTTAAATGCTGAAGCGTTTCGGTGATAGGGCTTCGGGTTTAGGATTTGAGGCGCTTGCACTCTAAACTGCCCCTACCAGACCTGTTTGGGCCTATGAAACTCCTCCCCTTGAGCCCCTATTGACTCCTCAATAGGGTTTAGGGTTTAGGGTTTTGGGTTTGGGGTTTAGGGTCTAGGGTTTTTTGGCTTAGGGTTTAGGGCTTTAGGGTAAGGTTGAACCCATGGGCCCCTAGTACGGACCCTTAAGCCTGGGAGCCTTATATACCTACTATATACGCTACAGGTACCCTTAAGGGTCCCCAGAAAGGCCTGAGGGTCCATATTAGGGGCCCATACTTCTAGCCTTCGACATATGGGTAATTCTCTAATTTAGGGACCCTTCTTAGGCCCCGCAGAATAGCACGGCACCCCTATAAAAACGAGCTCTCAAAGACCCTAATTGAGAAAACTACCCAGAAAAAACTCTACAGGACCCACTCTAAACACTTCGGCTGAGAGCCGTGCGCCGCTTTCTGGCGGTCCGCCTTTGTCGGCAGGTTAGCAACCTCGAGCTCTGTAACAGACGTTGGGGTTAGGTTTTTTTCTTTAGGGTTTAGGGTCTGGGGGGGTGAGGGTTTAGGGCTCAGGGTTTAGGGGCCTACTTGGAGGGTCGGGGGACTTAGTAAGTAGTGACTTTATAGACGTATAAGTATCATAGCCCCAAGTAGGGTCCCTTTTGGGGTACTTATAAGTCTACTTATTACCTATTTATTAAATTCCCCGACCCTCCAAGTAACAAACACTGGGGCCTGGTACGGGCTTTGCAGCATTCTTCGGGGATTTAGAGGACCAGTCGGGCTTCTTTGCTGAGTTTACCGGGTGAAATGAGATATATGGAAGTTTCCGAAAATTAGGGGTACCTTATTTTGGGGCCTTTATAATAAGGATCCTACTATTTAGGGTAGCAGAATAGGGTCCCCTATTTTCGGAAACCCCCATATAGGGCTTTCACATGCAGAGATAAGAATAGACTAGGGTCTCAGACCGGTTAGGTATGTGGCTTCTCGGACAAGCTTGGTGGGTCGAGGGAGTTAGTAAAACTTACAAGTACCATAACCCCAAGTAGGGTCCCTTGTGCGGTACTTATAAGTCTACTTATTACCCACTTGCTAAGTCCCCCCCGACACATCAGGAAGAAGACCTTTTCGGGGTGCCCCTCTACTAAGGATCCTTTCTTTGGGCTCCACCGTCTTTCAGGGGCAAGCACCGGAGCCCAGGGACACCCTAAAACCTAAACCCTAAATCCTAATATAGGGGCATCAATCATTAAAGTGGGGTTTTGGGGCCCATTATACATTATACCATTATCACAATAAGGAACCCCAAAATAGTATTGGTAATTATTTAGGCCCCTACATTAAACCCTGAGCCTTTGGGTTTCGAGCTCTGGGTCTTTAGCCCACTCTATCGGGCGTAGGGCTTCGGGCGTAGGATCCAAAGCCCACTGTTTTAGGTGTGGTAACCTATAAGTAAGGGGTCATCACCTACTGCTTTGCAGGGTTTGGGGGGTTCAGGAAACTCAAGGTAAGGAGACCTTCCCAAAGGGTCCAAAGTACCTGTATAGTAGAATGTAAGGTTTCTTTCTATATTAGGAATTGTTATTATGATTTGGGAAAGTATCCCCCATAACAGTACCTAGGACCCTTTGGGCTTGTACAGCTTAAGATGTATTCGTGAAGTAAGAAAAAATCCCCAAATCGCAGCAAGAAGCTTCATGTACTTGCCTCAAGTAAGGTGGTCTGGCTCCATGGCTGCAGGGCTTAGGGGGAAGGTCGTGGTCAGGGAGGGTCGTTTCTGTGCTTCAAATTAAATCATACTAGGACCCCTAAAAACCTGATTTAAGGTACATTCCTTAATTGAGGGATTTTGGAAGGTTTGGGTCTTTCAGCTCCCGGCATTCGTCGTCAAAGCATTCCTTGCCCCAGACCGCGGTGATGGCGCACCTTACAGAGCTCCCGGGTCAAGGCAGGCTCCATGTAAGACTACCCAAGACCGAAAAGGGAGCCCTGTCTATTCCTAGCTTGTTGGGGATCCTAGAGCAACCACCTGAAAGGTCCGAAGGACACAGCAAGAATTACGTAGGTACTTGGGTTTAGGATAGTCGTTTTGCAACCTTAAGGGTCCATGTATCCGTATGAGCATACTTTGACCCTAAAGTACCTAAATAGGGTATATACTATATATGAGTACATGGACCCTTTGGTTCAGCATACCCGAAGGCTCCTAAACCTTGGGTACAATCCCATGCGATAGCAGTCTGTAATCGGGCTACTATTGCGGCCGTATGTATCTAAATTATGTCTATAAGTATTGTTCAACTGTTCCTGAATGTGGGCAGTATCCAACCTAAACCCCAAAACCCTAAATCCTAAACCCTAAACCCCAAATCCTAAACCCTAAACCCTAAATCCTAAACCCTAAACCCGTAATCCTAAAGAAGTTGCCCACATTGACGGTACTAAGTTCGCTCTCGGAAGGTTTTTCCGAATCAGGTTTCAGTCTGAGGAACTTCATACGGCTCGCCTATGGAACACTGCGGCCCTTTAAGGTTTAGGGTTTAGGGCTTTGGGGTTTGGCGTTCAGGGTTTAGGGTTTATAAGGGTTTAGGGATACAGCAAAGTCACCCAAGCCCACCCGATTGATGCGACGACAATGTATAGTCAACAGTGTAGCGTTTTGGTACTGACCCCACCCGTACAGCAGCAGTCTTTAATGGGGTTACGATGAAGGGCCGTATATAACTATATTGTAAATGCTATGTTCAACCGCAACTGAATGACTGCAGTAACCTGAACCCTGAACCCTGAACCCTGAACCCTGAACCCGGAACCCTAATCTCTAACCCTAAACCCTAAACCCTAAACCCTAAACCCTAAACTCTAAACCTTAAACCCTAAACCCCAAAGCCAATCCCTAAGGGCAGTATCCAATGCAGTGTGACAGCGAAGGAAGGCCAGCTCTCCTCTCAACTTTGGCTGCGCTGCTCTAATTAGGGTTTAGGGTTTAGGGTTTAGGGTTACATCCGGAACCTAGGATTTAGGGTTTAGGGCTTATAGGGCTTACTTAGGGTTTAGGGTATTAGGGTTTAGGGTTTAAGTTTAGGGGCCTAGGCCCCACTAGCTAGGCTCCCCAAAAGCCCTAAATCCTTACGTGACTAGACCACAAACCCTCTACGCCTCAAGCCCCTAAACCCTAAACCCCTAAACCCCTAAAGCCCTAAACCCCTAAACCCTAAACCCCTAAACCCCTAAACCCTAAACCCTAAACCTCTAACCCCATGAACCCAAAGCACCTCCTAAGCCCCAGCCCCCAGCTGCGAAGGCCAGGCGTCCCTGCTCTCGGAGACTGGAGCCGGGACAGCAGAACCTCTCCGACGGCCGAAGACATCCAGGCCTCTCTGACAGGGTTTAGGGTTTAGGTTTGAGGGATTGGGTTTTAGGGTTTAGGGTTTAGGGTTTAGGGTTTAGGGTTTAGGGTGGTTCAGGCTTAAGGTTTTGGTTTAGGGTTTAGGGTTTAGGGTTTAGGGTTTAGGGTTTAGGGTTTTAGGGTTCAGGGTGTTTCAGGCTCAGGGTTTTGGTTTAGGGTTCAGGTTTTAGGGATTAGGATTTAGGGCTTAGGGTTTTGTCTGACACAGCCTTGTAAACCGGGTTTCGGGCTTTGGAAAATTTACATCTCCAGGGACTTTCTAAGGCTTCTACGGCATTCTGGGATTTCATACGACTTCATGGTCTGCTCTGGCAGGGTTTAGGGTTTAGGGTTTATGGTCTTAGACCCCATAGAAACCAATACAAAAAGCCATAAACAACAATAAACAACCAGTGCTAGACCCTGAAGCTTTCAGATTTGGAAACCCATGGAAACCATTGCAAAAGGCAATAAACAACAAGTAAAAACCTATGGTTTTACCCTAGACCCTGAACGTTTCAGGTTTGGGGTAGGTGTGAGGTTTTGGGCTTGAGCACTCTCCTTGGCTGCTAGGGTCCTTGCACCTGTGTATAGTTATGTGCATACTGCTGATGATAGAAATCCTGCATTACGTTAATGACCCTAAACCATGGGAATTGTTGTATATTCCTTATTAATGGGTGATGCAGGATTTAAATCATCAACCGTAGTTCTGTGGCTTTCAAAGGGGTCCTGCATAGCTACTTCTCGGGTCTCAGTATATACTTGCTAGTTAAACAAATACACGCTTATACTCAAACAAACATGTAAAACAACAAAGACATACACATGTAGCAGCGAAAACGCATGTACATATGATTACATGAACACACTAACCAGTACATGAATCACTAGGTAAACGAAAAGCAATTAACGCTATTCCATATGTACATACATAATTTTGCACTATAAATAGTATAACTTTTATAGCTATCTATACATCTAGATAGATATGTAGATAGATGATGATAGATAGATAACGACAGATAGATAGATAGATAGATAGATAGATAGACAGATCGATAGATAGATGGTCAGATAGATACATGGCTAGATAGGTAGATGGATAGATAGATAGATGGATAGATGGATAGACAGATAAATAGCAGTCGCATGGACCTGTGGTGCAATCCATTGGAACCTCCTGTTTGTGGAATGCCTTTACGGACCCGTGCAGAAGGCGCGCCTCCGGTAGCCTCAGCGATGATCTCCTTCCAGCAGATCCGACAAATATCGGATACAGTAATCCCTAAACCCTAAACCCTAAAGCCCTAAACCCTAGGTAAGCCCTAAATCCTAAATCCGATAAACCCAAAACCCAATAAACCCTAAGCCCTAAACCCTAAACCCTACACCTGTATGATTCAGAACTCTCAGGTTCTATGTTACTGTAGGGGCCCTGATAATTAGAATAGGCTTCCTGTAAAGGGATTCTGAAAGGGCTCCTTCAAAGGGTTGTATAAGGGATCTACTATACAAGAGAGTTCTATACTGTAGGGCCCTTAATAATTAGAATTGGGTTTTGGGGGCCCATTAAATTATTTTTGTAATAAGGAGCCCCCAAAACAGTATAGGCACTTGTTAAGGCCCCTACATTACGTGGGGCGTTTTGTTAGGAAACCCTAAACCCTAAACCCTAAACCCTAAACCCTTGGCGACTTGCCAAAGCGCTTTGGACTGGACAGCAGGGTTCCTCTGCCAATGGCGTTAATGAAGAGATAGTCCTTTGAGAATGGCGAAACCTTACTTCCTCAATAAGCCAGCAAAATAACAGTTTAAACTTTCAGACTTTCAGATTTTTAATAAGGTATAAGAACCTAAAAAGTTTACAGGTTGGGTATTGGGGAACTAAGAAACATGGCGAAACCTTAGGATTTCTAGCAAACTCACGAACACCTGCACGCTAACTAGCAGAGCTAACTTGCAGCTTTGCGATTGCAGTCGTAAAGGAAGCCACAGCACAGGACTCCCTAGGGTTTAGGGTTTAGGGTTTAGGGTTTAGGGTTTAGTAGTGTAGGCCTTGGTGTAGCACCGTATACCGAAGCCACGTAACAGCAGTGATACGCAGTGGCAGTCTGGAGAGAAGCATCTTCCTACTCTCCTACTCTCCGACCCTCATATTCCCAGTCCTCCTACTGCTGCTGCTACTGCTGCCACTGCTGATACTGATACTGCCTCTGCGACTGATATTGAAACTGATACCGACACTGAGACATGAACCTGAACCTGAACCTGATGCTGATACTGGTGCTGCTCCTGCGCCTGCTGCTACTTGCTGTCACTCCTACTCTTTTGCGGTCCTGCGTCATGACAGCACCATGCCTGTAACCCTAAACCCCTAAACCCTAAACCCTAAACCCTAACACACTGAACCATTGGTCATGTGTACAAGTGAAGTCTGGAGCTGCAGAACTATCCCCTAAGGGTCCATGTATCCGTATGAGCATACTTTGACCCGAAGGTACCTAAATAGGGACTACTTTAAGGCTAAGGTACCTAAATAGGGACTACTTTATGGCCTTAGTATATACTATATATGAGACCTAAGTATATAGTATATGAGTACCTGGACCCTTTGGGTCAGCATAAGGTACCTAAATAGGGACTACTTTAAGGCCTTAGTATATACTATATATGAGATGAGTACTTCTACCCTTTGGGCATGGATCTGTAACTTTTCACTGATTGCCTAGCGCCCGAGTCTGATTCAGCAATGACACTCCGCGTGGCCGTTGAGGGTTCAGGGGCCTTTCGGCTTAGGGAGCAAGACAGGGTTTAGGGTATAGGGTTTAGGGTTTAGGGATGCCAACACCAAACAGCACCAAGAACCCAGCTCCAAAAAACCCTACACCAGACGTCCTCAGACCGGTCTATGGACGATTCGTCCCGCTCATAGTAGCCTCGGCACAGAGTTCCGCCCTTTCAACGAAGGCTCGGAATCAGGGGCTGCGTAAAAAAAAGGCGAGGACCCAGAATTTGTTGAGATCTAGGATTAAGTTGCTCCCGGAAACATGTCATCCTAGCTCCTCAAATCCCAGGAGCAACCAGGTAAGATAGAACCCCCTCGAATCTGTGAAACCAGCTCCGCACTCGGAGGACCGGGGACTTAGTAAGTAGGTAATATGTAGACTTAGATGTACCCTGAAAGGGATCCTACCTGGGGTCATGATACTTCTAAGTCCACTTAATGCCGACTTACTAAGTCCCCCGACCCTCCCAGAAGCCAATTAACTTCGAAATCAAGAAAGGTGCAGGGCTTGGGGTTTAGGGTTCTTAACCCTAAACCCTAAACCCTTAACCCTAAAACCCCAAAACCCTAAACCCTACACCCTAAACCCTAAACCCTAGCCACCCTAAACCCATGGGGTTTAGGGTTCTTGAAGCCCTATGAGCCTCAGGCCCTGAACCTGCGATCCGGACGCGGAGCGCTAAAGCCTGGATCCTGTGAAAGCTCGCTCCTGAACCCCCTAAGCCTTAATAATTAGAAGAAGCTTTTAGGTTTAGGGTTTAGGGTTTAGGGTTTAGGGTTTGGGGCTCCTTGTTATCATTATAGTATAATATACCCCCCCAAACCCTAGCCTAACTTTTGAGTCCCCTATGTTAATTCCTACCTAAACCCTCGGTCGCAAATCCTGCAATCCGATTTTTTGGTCCGTGGAGCCTTAGCGTCAGTTTGCTTCCGAGCTGCCACCACCTCGCCCGAGGCCCTGCATCGCTCTCGCCTTGAGCCGAGGGCAGGTTCAGGATGTGAAGCTTGAAATTTCAGGATTTGAAGCCTGAAATTTCAGGATTTGCAGCTTGAAAGTTCAGGATGTGAAGCTTGAAGTTCCCAATGGTTCAGGGTTCGTTACGGTTAGTTTACTCGCTTCTTGAAATTGTGACTGACGGGCAGCACGAAGTTGAAAACGTGGCTCGGGTTTGGCATATTTGGATCTTTGTGCAGAATGATGCACAGGATAGCTCCAACCAGGATAGTGTAGGAGCCTTCATAATTAGAATAGGGTTTTGTGGTATATTAGACTATACAATTATTTAGGCCCCTATGCTACTTGTATGAAGCGGAGGGTACGGCTAGGGCTGTAAGTCCCCAGTTGGTGCCTACCGACCCCTACAGGTTTAGGATTTAAGGTTTGGGTTTAGGGTTTAGGGCCTGAGTAGTACTACTACTGGGCTTCGAAGTAACCAGGGGAACAAGTATAGACGTGTATTTCCTAGTGGTTCCTTTCAAGAACAGGTACCAACAGGAAGTATTCAAGTGCGGTGCTCCAGAGCCCAGACTATTCCTTAGCGCTCCTCGTTAAAACCATGCCATGCTAATTTTCACCTGACCCTGCTGTAGATATCCAGGCCCTTACGAGGTTACAATACACACAATAATGAATTTTCGGATAAAGCAAGGAGACTATATTCCTGAATGTGCAACCAGAAATTTCACTTGTCCGATATCACCACATAGCCTACTTATAGAGTAATTACCCTGCTTCTTCACGCACGAACACAGACACGACAACGAAACTCTAAACTCGCAACTACTCTTCGCCCCAAGACAGTTGCTTAAAGGGCTCGCCTGCTGACGCACCACTCGCTCCTCGACGCGGAGCTGCGAGCACTTAGTGCAATGCGTGCCTGAGGATGACCCGTTGCCAACATTTAGGGATTTTGGGTTGTAGGACCGGTGAGACCTCTATGGGTTTAGGGTTTAGGGTTTAGGGGTTTTTCCAAGTGCCTAAACTGCTAACCTGGAACGTTTTGTCCTGGCCGGGTACCCAACCGTTGGGCACCTGGTCTGGTAGGGTGAGTTTGGGTTATCGGTTTTAGGCTCACTACAATCCCGGAGAACTAATCAGTAAGTCATTAAGTAATCCTAAACCTCAAGCCCAAATCTAGCATATACTTACTTGGTCCAATGAACCTCCAATTTCGCAGCTAACTGAGAGCATGCAACTAGCAGAACAAGACCCTGGCGATTTGTCAGGACTCACGATGCTTATCTCCAGGGCGTAGGGACTAAGCCACACAAAGCGATCAGCTACGAAGCTCGCGACAGAAAACCACCATAAAACAAACACCCTAACCCCCCAACCCTCAATCAACAACCCTACCTAAGCCATAAACCCTAAACTCTAGCACTCTTCATGAATCGTTCGGCGTCGCACGAATCTCTGAATACCATTTCCTAAAGCACGCGAACCTGCGAAGCGAAGTAAGGAAAGTCTAAACCACAACTTCGACGTTGAACATGACCCTAAGGGGGTTTAGGCTTTAAGCTTTAGGGCAAGTTTTTTAGGGTTTAGGGTTTAAGGCTTTAGTGTTATGGGTTTTAATACTAGGTTTTAGGGATTGGGGCTTAGGGTTTCGGCCTAAGGGTCCATGTACTCAAATAGTATACACTTCGGTCTTAAAGTGATCTCGGTTTAGGTCTTCGGGGACAAAGTATATACTAGTTGGATACATGGACCCTTCGGGTGCAAACCCCAAGAAGTGAAAGCACTCCTTAACCCGAAAGCCCGCAACCCTAGAGTCCTATCCCGGCCCAACCAAAACCCTGAAACCTCAAACCCCAACCCTAAACTCACGCCCCAAGCCTAAACCCTTTAAGTCCCTAAACTCTACTAACCCCTAAGCACTAAATCCTAAACCCTAAATGCTGAGCCCATAAAGCTCTACGGTTGATGATATAAATCACCATAATTCCCATAGATTAAGGTCTCTAAGGTAATGCAGGATTTCTATTGAGCCGGCGTCAAAATTATTTGCTTGTGCTAGGCTCGTTTT